AAACGTATGCTTTCAACTAACTCTTATCTATATGCGTAAATAACAATATAATTATTAATATATATATATAGGTTTACATTCGAATATACTACTAATAAACTGCTTATATGTACTGAGTATGATTCTATAATTTTAACAGGCCTTCAACCTCAAACAACGTGAGATTGTTGATTTGGTCGAATAAATAAATAAATAGATAAATAAATAAATAAATAATTAAATAAATAAATGGTCACTGAATCAGAGAGTACATGTGACTTTTGCGACAATTCACTGGGACTGGTAAACTTATGCTTTCAACAAACAGTTATCTATATGCATAAACAACAATATAATTATTAATATATATATATATATAGGTTTACATTCAAATATACTACTGATAAACTGCTTATATGTACTGAGTATGATTCCATAATTTTAACAGGCCTTCAACCCCAACTACGTGGGATTATTGATTTGGTCAAATAAATAAATAAATAAAATCACATTAAGCGAGTTGGATGAACTAAACTTCTATTTAAGTCTGACTAACATTCGAGAATCACACAGATTACTTCCATTGAGTTTATATATAAATGTGTATATTTGTGTGATTTTTCATTATTATTGAGCCTTAAATAAAAACGAAATTCACACAACTTCGTTTAATATGTCATTAAGATTCATAGTTGCATTTCAGCCCATTAAAATGATTTCTTTAACCTTGACGCAGCTTTTTCTTCTAAAAGGTTATCGAAATCGGGCTTGACTGCAGGCGAATCAGCACCTGCAGGCCCGATTCGCGTCAGGATCGTGTGCTTCAAGTGGCAACAGACTACTTCCCGGTCACATGAACATGTTTCGGTGTCATTCATAAAGCAGACGTAAATTTCAGCGCAAATAAACAACTATTACAGAAGTGTGAATGAGACCAAGCAGTATTTGTAATCAAATTGAGAGGATTCCTATACTATCAGTAGTAGATTTTTGTTAAGAGTGTAAGTTACATCAGGTTCCACATTATGACGAGATGGCCTCACAATTTAAGTGAATTTTCCTTTTAACTTGCCTACAAAAGCCGTTCTAATTTCGACTGAAATGAACTGAACTGTAGGTTTGATCTCGTCTAAGCTAGTCTCTTCAGTAGCCAAACGGAAATTAAACCCATATTTTAGTATCAAAAATTGTATTTTTAATATGTTACCGTTACGTCAGATTGTCACGAATGCCACTTTGTGGCATTTTAGAGTGGAAATGACGCAGTAAATTTTACCTGCACTCGATTAGATCGAGTGGTTCAAGTATCATTCCACTAAGACTCAACTGATATTTTAATTTTTCCAAAAATTATACACTTGCTTAGCAATGCGATGCAATTGCTTTATGAGGCCAATTTATTTTCGTGACCTTGACCAATTTAAGATGACTAAAGCTTATAATGCAACATTTTTTATTAAAATTTGCTTATACTACTTATATTGATATACAGTACTACTATCTGATCGTGTATATGAACTGGTTGTCTGAGGTAAAGTGCGATAATTGAATTTTTCACAATATTACGAGCGTGCCTCAGTCAAGCATTGCATTTCACTGACCCTTGCCTTCGTTGTGTTAATATTCCACTATTCTATCTTCACCAACTTATGCAACCTGACGAGAAAGCAGTTCACAGTCAAAATCTACCGTTACTTTCGGAACATACTTTGTATGAATATAACATTCCTCTTGTCTGCCTTTATCCGTAAGCAGAAAGACAAACAGGCACATCCACACACGCAAACAAACACAGTCCCGGGCTGACAGGAGTAATGGATTTAAGAGCGGGAAACAGTTATTATGCCGATACACGTAAAGTGTAAGAATAAATCACACCTTTACGATAGCCCACGTCTCTGCTTTCCCCCCACCCCCGTCTCGACGATGCTTTGCAGACGAGGCAAGCTGAGGCAGGCATGACTGCAGGCCAAAACGCCATAAAGGCATGCAACCGTGAGGAAGACGCTCCGCCTGATTCAATCTGGCTTGCCGAAACGACCGGCCTATGGTCTGACCACTGCGGTTGTAAGACACGTTGCCTTGGCAACCGGACAGTTTGCTGCCCCCTTCTCATCAGATGGCTTGAGTCCGAATCGGCTTTCGAGGTAGGGTAATAGGGTCGGCTGGTTCGATTGTCTACGAGGCAGGACAGAATGTACGAAACTATAGCAGAGGAGGAGTCGAGTTTGTTGTCACTGGGGCTTCTGTACCAAAAAAAAGGAGGCTCGGAAGAACTGTGAAATCGCATATTGTCGAGGGTGAAGTGAAGCAATTGTGGGATTGCATCACATACTCTCGCCTCACTAGGACTCTGGAATTCGTCTCATCGTCCAATCAGAACTGCAAGCGGGACTCGAACCACGGAGGCACACGCCCCAATCTGGCCACACTTTATGGGGAGGCTAGTACGCCTCAGCAGGACTCGAGCATGATGGAGGACTACTTGGCACTAATTGAGGAGTATGCCGAGTTTAGCGAAAAATGCATGGCTGTCTATGGATACAAAACCAAGTACAAGCAGCAAATGAGCATGATGGGCTGCTCAAATGTGTGTTTCCTGATGGTTGCATGTTTATGGTTTGAGTCCCGCGGTAGCTGCTGATAGACCTTTTTTGACGAGTCTAAATCTGTACTACATACCGGAATAATAGAGGTCTGCAAATTGAAAATAGGCATAAAACTGTCTTCAATCCATCGTCGGCCGATTCAAGAAGCCATTAAGGACTGGTATTTCTCGTCAGCCCTTAGTTTGTTGACAGCTTTGAGACTGTAGATAGAGCAATCAAGGAAATATTGGTGCAGGTGATAAATATGTCTGAGAGGCTACCTAAAGAATCACAAAGAAAGCTGGACATAGAGATCATTTCGGCTACTTTGGAGCAGTATGCTTCCGCGAATTGGAACAATAACAACCAAGATATATGAAGAATTGAAAAGAAATGATAAAATTGTTCCACTAGCAGACAAAGTGGATGCCACAGTTGGTAGGTACAGGAAGGAATATGTAGAGCAAATGTGAAAATTGTCTCGGAAACACAATAACTTGTCGACCCAACAGTTAAAATCAAAGTGGCACTGCAAGAAATGCTAAAGGAAATGAATAGGAACGTGGAACTCGACGAATGGACAATGAACTTACTC